TCTGGTTTCTTGCTTCTCAGAATCTCCAGATCTTTTCCATTTTTCCACAGTTTCCAAAAGCTGTAAAGGTAGCTGTCCAAGTTAAAATGAGATGGAAAGACCTCGAGTCTGCAAAATGCATATGCATAATGGATTTCACTTACTGCAAGCCCCACTGCCTTTGTTTCTGTGGTCACCTCTTGTGCTCATGGGTCCCATTGCTTCGTGCTGCTAAAGTCCCCTTGGGGCACCTCACTGGTCCCATAATGCTTTTCAAGACCAACCCCAATAGATAAAATAAATTCAATGATTCCTGAGACCTTTTCAAATGCTAGTACAAAAATTAATTGGGGTGTGTGTAGAAAAAAAATCAGAACTTTGAGGTTGTGATTTTATCAGCACTCAAGAGATTAAAATCTTGCTCAGGCGGTTAGYTTTTGGAGTCCAGAAGAGTTTTGGTAAGCAGATATATATTAATTACAAGTACATGTAAGCCTTGTCATTCTCAAAAGCAGGAAAAAAGAAAAAGAGGCMTCTTTCTGTGAGGAAATAAGTGCTGGGGCAAAAAGAAACAGTGATGGGGTAAAAAAAGTTATTTTCTGTCAACATGTTAGAATGTTCTGTCATAAACAGAGCTCAGTTCAAAGGCTCTGGGAATCTCAGAAGGTTTCTTTCAAGACTCACCAATTTCCTGCAGCATGCTGTCAGTGCTRGGAAGAGGCATCTCTTGCACATAAGAGCAGCTGGTTGTTTAAAAAAGAAAAAAAGCCATGTGGGGGGAGAGCAACCCCCCCTCATCCCTTATATAGAGCAGTTTTCCACAGGAAAATGTACATCTGTGAAAACAGGGCACTTCAGCAAATTCTCTGCTCTTCGGAATGTCCTTTTGCAAGGAAAAGTGTGTTTGGATGTTTTCAGGGGAGGTCTTGGGGTTTTTGGTATTTTTATTTTCGCCACRAGTAATTTGAGTTCTGAGGTTTTATTACTTTTCTGCTTTCTGTTCAGTGGTATTGACAGCTTTTCTTACTCTTTATTATCTTAAGAACTGTGCATGTGAGTATTAACCCTATCTTAGCAGGAGCTAACTGAATTTTATGGGAAATGGCAGTCTTTTGATTTACCTGAAAGTTTTCTCATGAAAATAAAATTAATCTTATAACTGGGCTGAAGGCAACCTATCTATTCTGTTGCTGCCAAATTTAAATTGCCTTGTGTGCTTGCCTTTAAGAAATAACTTGACACTGTCARAGGTGTATTAGGATCTTCTTTGCTATAGCTGATGCTTTCACATCTGAAATACATATTTATATATATTTACCCATGTTTTGTTGTTTGCAGGAACTACAGATATCTGAAGATGAAACCATGAAGAGCAAGCAGAGTGAATAATAATGCTTTTCCGAAACCGTTTTCTGTTTTTGCTGGCCTTGGCAGCCTTGTTAGCCTTTTTGAGCCTCAGTCTACAATTCTGTAAGTGTCCTTGTGCTTTGTTTTCCACTTGTGGTGGTCTATAGGTGTGTTTAAAAATGGCCATGATTGCATGTTGTTTAAGCATTCTTCCTGTATTTAAATACTTGGGGTTTGTTTTGGGGTTTTGTGTTTGTTTGTAAGGGGTTTTTGTTTTCTAAAAAATGTAAGAAAAATAGTTTTGTGTGCATATAGGAATCTGTACAGTCTAGAGAGTTCAAATCAGGCTATTTTATTTTTAAAAAAAATCTGCATTTTGTAGTGCAGTTAAGTAATTGAATGTGATGGAMTCCTTCCATGAAAGCAGGCAAACTACATTGGAATGAAACCTGCTGCAATTCCTATTTGACATTGCATCAGACCAGATGGGATTGAGGAAACTGCTGGGAGAGGTTTGAGTGCTGGAACTTCTCCTGGYTTGTACCCTCACATCAGGAAGCTTCCAACAGTTGATTTAGTCCATTACAAGTGGTTGGTTTGTTTAAGAACAGATAAATTGATTTGTGCTTCAGATGAATTAATCGTGGGTCAGTGCAGAGGGCCCTCATATCCTGATGCCTGAGCAGGTCAGTGGAGGTGACAGATGACAATTGTGCCCTAAGGCTGGTTGTCACCTGCTTCATGAGAGGGCACATTTGCTGAAAAGCCCTGTTTGGTRTTCCTGTGATCTGTGTTAATGCACAGCAATGCAAAGAATTGCTGTTAAAGGGCAGGTAAGAGTGCCTGTAGGATAAGATAACATTATTTATTGTTGTCATCTTTCATCATGTTTYAATGAGCACAGTCCTTCTGTGCTATGCTTTTTCTGCTTAGTGTAAAAAAACCCAAAACCCAAAAGGTTATGCTCGATTTAGAGTGGGTCTTTTGCATATGATAGACAACTCAAAAAAGAAAAAAAAGGGAGGGAGAGAAGATGAAAGAAACTTCGTTGTTTTCTGCTATTATTTTTTGTGTGCTTAAACTCATCTGCATGTAATAAAGGGACCTGTGGCTCTGAATTGYTTTTTCAGCCTCCTCTGGGCACAAGCCAGAGGGTCTGATTGCAGCTTGTTTCATCCTTTAGGCTCGTTATGGCTCGGCCCTTGATGTTGTAGGGTTGGTTATGAATTGTGCATAGGGTGAAGGTCCTAGAGGAGCTGCAGCTGAAACATGAAACTGAATTGTTAACTCAAATRAGTTTTATTTAGAGATGAGGAGGTAGGCATTTAGGAGAGTGAATCACATTTCATCYAAAGATAAAATTATTTTCTATTTAATTAGAACATACCATTTCTGCTGGTGATAAGGATGTTTGAGGGTACTGTAAAAAGCACACAAGCTGCAGCAGGTGGCCACTGTGAGGCTCAGTGCCAGTACCAGCRCTGATACAGAAACTTTTACATCATGAGAACTGCAATAGAGGGTAGTGGGAGCCAAGACACACAGGCAGCCTGATCCTTTAACTTCTACCAGCCTCAGGATGTAGAGCAATTAATCCAAACTTGGAGCAAGGACCATCTCCCAGCAAAACCAAAACTCTCTTTGATCACCTTGTGCTTCTAGGTGAGTTACCAGTGCTGTCACTTGATGCTTTCTTTATCAGGAGATTTGTCACATCCTCAGCAGTGCCTGCTTCTGTCAAGAAACACTATATTTTCACCTCAGAATGTTTAACTTTKCCATTGTTGAGCCAGCCTGGTCTCAGCATTCTTCAACACCAAAATGAGCAGGAATTTGATCACCCCTTCTCCATCCATCACTGGTAACTTTTGCAAATAGAGTAAAATTTGAGCTCTCTTACCCCACTTAGGCAGAGCATGATAAGAAAGATACTGAGGTCTGAAGCAATTCCCTGATGGAGCTGGGGAAGGTTCTGGAGCACAAGWCAGATGAGGAGTGGCTGAGGGGGCTGGGGGTGTTTTGTCTGGAGAAAAGGGAGCTCAGGGGGGTTTTATGACTCCCTACAGCTACCCAAAAGGAGCTTGTACAGGGTGGGGATTCATCTCTTCTCACAGGTAACAAGCAATAGGACAAGAGGAAATAGTCTCAAGTTGTGCCGAGGGAGATTTAGGTTGGAAATTCAGAAAAAATGTCTGCACAAAAAGGCATTGGTCAGACATTGAAAGGCATTGGAACAGGCATTGGTCAGACATTGAAACAGGTGTCACCATCCCTGGAGGGGTTTCAAAGATGTGGATGTGGCACTTGGRGTCATGGGTTAGTGGTGAACACAGTGGTGCTGGGTTAATGGTTGGACTTGATCTTAGGGGTCTTTCCAACTTAAATGAATTCTATGATAATACGATTTGTGGTCATGGAATGAAAATGAGTGTTTATACATTTAGACTCAGGAAAATGCCCAAGCCACTGATTTATTTTGTTTTGTTTGAAGGGAGGTACCTCCTGAAGCATGTGGAGTGGAAGTGGATGTTTTATGGTGTTGTGAGATTGTGAATCTCTGTTAGCAAGCAGTGCACAGCTTTGTGGAGGAGGGCTGGTAATTTTAAAACATGCTACTGCTTTTCTAAGCATGGAATGTTGAAAATGTCTCTTCCTTTCTGTGACAAATTTGTTTATAAAATCAAAACAGTAACACGAACTGTATAATTMCACAAGTGGTACATGTCTTCCTTTTTCAAACTTGTGCTTTAGGGCAGAGCACAACTCCTGTAAATGTTTGATATTTTATCCCTCTTGTCCACACGTGGAGTTGTGGCATTTGAAGGCAGGCTTGTGAATTGTAGCTGACTCTGAAGTGTAGGGAGTCATAAAGGTCAAGCTCAGCTGATTTTCCATAGGTTCTGACTCAGTTTTACAAACAGCCACGCTGGGATGGCTGACAAGGTCACAGTYTGGCTCCTGCTTGAGCTGTGAGGGTTCAGCAATTGCTTGCAGCACTTGGCCACCCAGTCAAACMGAAAAGGATGCTGCTTTGCTTTAATGGGCTGTGCTGGGAAGGGTCTGGAACTGCTTTATGAGCAGTGATTTCTACAGCCACGATGAAGTGGAGGTGATGGGTGTCGTGTCAGCAGTCCCACTACGTCTGTCCTTGCTTGTAAGACAAACTCCYGAGGCAGTTGTTTCACATCTAATAGTTTTCACATCTCCAGTCTAGACACAGAGAAAAATAACTGGGGGAAACAACCTTCAGTGTTGATAGGCWTGGGAGGGATGCAGGGCGCAAAACTGTCCCCTGTTTTGATGTTTGTTCTTGGTCCTTTTCTCTTCCACTGGTTTATGAGTTCTATAGTTTGCTTTCCT